GACTGCTGCGGCACACTAGCCACTTGTTACCCTTTGCTACCACCCCGGTCCTGTCGGCGGGGCCCCCACTCTAGCGACCGGTTTCGCCCGACATGGCTTTTTCTGTGCCTACGCTAGTTGGTTAACGACAACTTCCTATATATACACGTTGCATGATAGGGTCGTTGTGTATCAGTACCTACTGCATTGCACTATTTGAGGTGAGTTATTACGTTGTTTTATAGTAATTATGATTCTATATTTTTTATATGACGGGTATGTTAGGGTAGGGCTTAGAGGTATACAGCATATCTTGTAGTACCGCTCTGATACACCTTTGTGTATACGTATATGTACCTTCTGTGTATACATATATGTACCTTTAGGTTACATATATATGTAGTACCTATTACACACAACGTACAGCACCATCACTATCGGCCGCAGATACTTGAGACAACCGTGTTACGCTAAGCGCCAACAGAGCCTGCCTTTCGGTAGAAGTGCGCGTGGTGTTTTGTCACGTAAGGTATTACTTATTTCAATTCGTTTGATTCCTGAGAGAGAGAAGGATTTTGTTATGGGCCATTTTCGGTGGATTGCTCGCTCTGGCCGGATTACTTCCCACTCTACAGTTGCCCTTGGGGTTAGTGACGTGTTGAATCTATCCGTGCAGTCCCTCGCTTCCGCTACATGGCTGGACGACCAACACGCCACTAGCGGAATTAAGGGGGCAACAGGGCACGTGCCCGGCCCCCACAATTTGGCGCGTCCCCCCATTTAGAGAATCTAAAATGTTACAAACTTGCCGTAATTGATCCACAAAAATTCTTAGTCATGGTAACGTGCAGTGATGCGTTTCCATGCTGTTTCTCTGACTGAATTTCCGCTGTTCAGCTAACAAGGACACTTTCCACTCTCCTTCGCTCTGAGAATCGTATCTTTCATTGATGCTCTCGAATTGTAGCGAGTGAAGTCATTTTTTAAAAACTCAAGTTGATATTAAAAATCAATAGAGAAGCCGACGATGACCAACAGAGACTGTTGGCTGTAACGGTCAGTATTCTCGCCTATCGAAAGTGACATTTAAATTCGTGAAACACGATGAAAAACCTCTGAATTTGCAAGAATGAAATGCAGAAAATACAGACTATAGGGCGCCCCACACAATGCGTGCCGTGCCCCCACATGCTGAGTCCGGCTGAACACTCCTGGGAAACTGCAGTGGATCTTGCTAGCGCTGACGCACCATGACCGAGCATTTGTGTTTTTCTTTCGTTTGCGTTCGATAAATGGCTCAATCTAACCAAATTACAGAGTTTTGAATGTTATTTATGGCTGGTGGGCTATGCTGCAATGATTCGGTGCCTATTCCGCCATTGTGGGTCGTATATAGTTCTGTGCGCGGGAGTGAAGCGGCACACAGATGAGTAGTTGTCATGTGTGTCTGTGGCGGCTGCGTTGCGGTCGGTGCGTGGCGTGCGTGGCGGTGGCGCGGCAGGCGGCGGTTGTGTGTTGCGATGATCATGCCGCTCGCTCTCCCTGGGGTTCACCCGGATCCGACACCTAAAAATCGAAACCGGGAATACGTTGCGCCATTGCCCCCTGTTTCCTTGTGCCGCCTGGGATCTGTGTGTGGTGTGTTGTGTGCCCATGTGCGCCCTATCCTGCACATCATTGGCTCTGCACTGTGTGTGTGGTGTCTGCCCCCTTCCCGATCTTAACCTCTCCAATTGTGCGCGTCGCGCTGTCCCTACGTTCACGGTATGTAATTTCATAAAACGTACCCATAACGTGTGATTGCATTTGCTAAGCCACTAGTATGCTCAACCACATGCGTATTATTTGGCACGCCTGATAATGATTGATAATCGACGGCTTTGTTACAACTAGTAGTTAGAAAACCATGATAATGTCACGCTGACAGATTCAGTCTACTGTGTGAGGCAACTTTCATCCGTGTTCTCTTATTCATTGCCGCGCGAGAGGTACTGCGATTTATTGGCTTAATTTGCGGCTGGTTATTGGCTTAGGACACAGGGCACATCATCTCAACTAATCGCTAATATGAAGCCTACAGCTAGTTGGACAGTCAATTTAAACCAAACTAAAAATACGTGACAGCAAAAAAATACGTTTTTGTACACGTTTGAACCAGACACCCATCAGGCTAATCAACGCCACATTGCGTTCTGCGGTGCGTGGTGCTGCGTTGTCGCTGCGTATGCTGCATGTATCTGTTGTGCTCGTGCGCGTGCGCTGTGTGCGTTGTGGGTATGACTGTGTGCGTCGCCTTATGTGTGTATGTATTTTTGTGCTAGCGGCTCGAGCGATGAGTGTGTGCAGTGGGCGTGTGTCGTGGTGTTGCGTGCTGACGTGTCTTGACAAAGGCACCGATTCATGGTTTCACCTTCAGTTGCTCAGGGAAACTGATTTATTTTAAATTAAACTTAATCCTCATCCTCACTACATCGTTAACCAAGCTTGCAAAATTGCCCCGAACGACGCCTTAATTTCATATTCGATGAATCGATGACTAATAGTCAATTCATCTTCATGACGATGATCTCTCGACTACTCACGCCGCGCAGCACTTTCTTTGGATACTTTCTAGCTTGCTACAAACGCAGGCCGACAAACAGGTACATCATCGCCAATCGTCGGCATGTTCTATCGCTGTTCTCCGGGGCCATCAGTGGTGTACGTCGTGGCCTTGCTGTGCCGCCGCCGCGCTGACGGGAGGCCCGGCTGTCCGATCCTCAGCCAACAGTCACGTCGGGCGGAAACACTAGAAAAATTCCGCGCGGAAATAGCGTACGTTTCTTCGATTTCGTGGCGGATACGAGAGCATCCTTGTTATCCACGGTGGGGACAAATGATCTATCCTCTGAGGCATATGATTGAAAAACAGTTTCCACACTTGCAGTTACCGATAAGAGATTACACACGTCGATAACAAGCGTGTACTTTACCTATATTTAGAATACCTAGCGCGTGGTCATGCTAAAAATAATTTATTATGCACATATGTAATCCGATTGATTTGCGTTTAGTCACGGTACGCCACGCTTGCGTCACTTTTATAACTAAATACACTTTTATGCGGCGAAATGGAGTGAAGAGATGTATAGACCTTCAAATGGACGGCAATCTTTGCAGGGCCAAATAACTACAAACACTAAAAAACCGAATTTGGGGAGCAGAACGTCAACGCGACCTCTAAGTCGCTAGTTAAGCAACAAAAACCAATCACTAGGAAGCCAGGTCCGTCAAAACTCGCAACCACCATAGACTCCCCTTCTGTAGCGTTAAGGTCTATCATTGATCAAGGTCAAGTGTATACTACGCCCGAGTCTTGACTAGAATGACGATGGCGCACGCATTCAGGTATTATTATTAATTATCATCATCATCACGCAGCGAGCAGCATAAGCATGAATCATCTTCGTCGTCGTCGGTCTGTCCTCGTCATCTCATCATCAGCAATAGACTAATTTGATAAAATCGATCATGGGAAGAATGAGCAGGGAGTAATAGTGCACAAGTCATATTGGTTGTTGATTTGCTGGCGCAGAATTGTACAATCGCTAGAGGTGGCAGCGAGCAGCGATTGTCCTCACTAATCGTCGTCATGGTCTTCTATCTGCCGACAAGTCAGTTGAGCAGTCTGCTGACGTGTTCAGTCTATGGTTTTTGCGTTCTAGCCTGACAGGCGCCATCTCTTGTTAAAGAACAAGTTAAAGGGCGAAACTTCTGATGCGCGGATTATCGTCATTACTCTAAACGTGTTACGTTTACTACCATAAATCGCTCTCATTCATTAAGCATATATAGATTATATGTATTTCAATTAAAATATATTAACTTATTATAAGTATATTAAGATCTTTTCTATTGTGCTCATGACTTGTTATAACTGAATGCACGTTCCTTGTCACAATTGAACTGCCGCCACAATATTGAGTGCAGCAAAAAACCTTTTCTATCCGCTATTGTAGGCGGTCGTGAAGTGTGGCGCGAAGCCTGAGGCGAGAACGCATGTTATGCCTCTTAAGTTATTTTAGCTTCATCATCTAATACGGTAATTTGAGTCATATTGCAATTTCTGAATACCCCGATGGGGAAATGGGAGCCCCTCCACACTGCAGCTACGAACATTTCGATTATATTTAATAGAGGGACTGACGAAAACGATGCTCCGCGTTCTTTTTTGCGCGGACACGCATAGCGGATTGCACGAACCAAAACCCACGCTTCCTCAAACCAAGTGAGTTTGCAATCTTAGAATATGTGACGCAGATTGGACGCACTATACTTGGGTCATTGTTGGCGGACTCGTAGACCCCTGCGACTAATGACGACCCCCACAAAAGAATGTACGGATAGAGCGGCGCGCCATGATGATTGGAATTATTAATTCTAATAACAAGAAAAAAGTGGGTAAAAGCTACATTTTTGCATGCACGTTTTCGTGTATGAAATAATAGATTGCGGTATCGTCGCGAAAAAATATGTGTACAGGCTGGGGTATAAAGTGGCGAGGTGAGCTGAGAGTTGTGATTCTACGTGTTGCGAAGCCGAGTCTTATCATGTCATCGCTGGCTCATAACTGTAGTATAGTATAACACTATTGGTATTTATTAGATGATGAGATTGATGCTGTGCATGCATGGCGAAGCCCTATCCATGTGCGTGTTTTACCTAAGGTGATATGTTATCATAGATCGATTATTATTGGAACTGCATCAAAGGGATGAAATCATGTGACGTGTG